GCCCCCCTCAGCCCGGCACGGGGCCCGAGCACCCCCACGCGCCGCCGCTGCGGCCGGTGCCTGCACTGGGCTCTCTGCCCCCCGGGAGCCCCGGCCCCACTCACCCGGTGGTTTTGGTAGGCGGTCACGGCCGTGAAGCGCGTCTCTTCGAAGACGAAGGTTTTAAAGTTCTCCTCGGCGTATTTCTCGCTGTCTTTCCGGGGGTCCACGTAGACCACGTGAAAACGCGGCTGGTATCTGTGCATGGAGTTCAAAATGATCTGAATGATAAAACGAGCAATGAGACAATAACTGATCCAGACGGAGCATGGAGAGCGCAGCGCGCAGCCGGGGCGCGGGCAGGGCCCCCGCGGCACCCCGGCCACCTCTCCCGCCCCTTTCCCCGGGACCCCGGGACACTTACGTGCCCGTTGTCGTCTAGCAGGTTGTTGGTGAGCTTGAGCTTATCGAAGGAGACGATCTGCTTCATCCACTGCGCCCCTTTGCGCGGGGGGTCGGGGTGGTAGTGAAACCTGCCGGGGGCCGGCCCCGGCGTCGGGGAGCCACGAGGAGCTGTGGAACGCGTATCTGCCGCGGGGACAGAGGCGTGAGCGGCGGCCCCGGGCAGCTCCCGCTTCCCAAGGAAACGGGCGGCACGGGCGCTTCCCGACAGCCGCCCGCGAGCTGCGTGTGTAGGGGGGGAAATCGCATTTTATCAGCTCGCCCATGGCGCTTGCCGCGAGGGGTCTGCGGCATGGGGGAAACTTACAGCTAACCTGCGCGGAGTCGGGAGAGAAGCCGCAAATGCTCCTCTCCCTCTACAAAAACGAAAAAAAAAAAGGTGAAAGGGGGCCCTCTATACGGTAATATTTTGGCTCTAAGTGAAGAGCGGAAATTTATGCGCAGCTTAATAGCAGTTCCAGAGTTAGCAGTCTTGTTTCATTCTTTCAAAGTACGTATTCAACAGTAACGTCTAAAACAGAGAAACCAATCTTCTATACACGTGTTTACTTTAAACGCCGGTGTTTGCACAGGGGGAATTAGACACCATTGGGTTCGAGCAGAAGCATTGCTTTTTAAAGATATACTCAATTGGATGTTATATACCCCACTTCCCTTGACAAGCAAACATTTCTAGGACGCCCTGAGAATTTGGATATCTGTCTAAATATTTGTAGAGCGGACCCCGATCCATTGGCGCGCTCCTACCATGCGGCCCGCCCTGTGAAGCCCGCAGCATAAGGGCGTCTTTACCGGGAAGGCGCGCGGAGCGGCCCGCTGCACTGCCGCGGGGAACCGGGACTCTCTGAGGGACAAATCCCGCTCTCCTCCCCCAGACCCGCGGCCCCCGAACGCCCCACGGTGCCCCCTG